ATCAAATCTCTATGTTATTTAATTTCATTTTTAAAATTTGTACTTTTTGTGTGACTAAAGGAGAAATATTTCAAATCTCTATGTTATTTAATTTTATTTTTAAAATTTGTACTTTTTGTGTAACTGAAGAAGAAATATTTCAAATCTCTATGTTATTTAATTTCATTTTTAAAATTTGTACTTTTTGTGTAACTAAAGGAGAAACATTTCAAATCTCTATGTTACTGAATATTCAAATTCTCAAGGATTTAAATACAAAAATTTTTCAGGAAAAATTGTGAAGAGCTCCACAAGGTGAATTTCTATATACATATGCAAATTACCAAACTTCTACATCCCCATATTACCAAATTATCAACTATTTCCACATCCAACAGAATCCAAAACCTCTCATACTTCAGTCATTGATTAAACTTCATTTAATAAAAATTTCCAAATTTCTAAAATTTAAAAAATATCTCTACTGACCTCCCTTATCTTTGCCCATCACCCTTTTCCCATTGAACACAACTGCCCGTGAAATGCCCATACACTGCCCATACGTCGAGCACATGCTCTTGTATCTGTAATCGAAAGGGTTCGGTCAGTGATTCGAACGCTGGCACAGCAGGAAATTTGGTCGAAAAGACGTCTTGTCTCGTTGCGTCGTCTTGCATAACGCGAACAGCAATTACAGGCGGATAACACGGAGACAGCAAAATGGAAACGTTCTGGTTAAAACGGTTCACGATCGTCCCGGTGGTTCGGGGGTCAACCGTATCGATCGCGGCTACGTTTCCCAATTTGCGCGGCCGAACAGACAAGAGGGCTTTAATTGACGTGATTTGTGGGTCAAAGGTCGCGCGATTCGTGCGCTTTCTAACTCCAGATCGACCAAGAATTACTGGCGAGATCGTTACGGTTTCTGCTATTCCACTGCTTTTTTATTTATAGATGTATCTTGGTATTCTTCTGTCTGTAGACTTCAATCTCTTTAAATTTATTCAAACAGTATATTAAAAATGATATGAAAATAATACGGCTGTTATTCTTCTCACTCGTATCAAGTTTTCTTTGAAACTCTGTAGACTTCAATTTTTTTAATTTATTCAAACAGTATATTAAAAATAATATGTAAATAATACAGCTGTTATTTTTCTCACTCGTATCAAGTTTTCTTTGAAACTCTGTAGACTTCAATTTAAAAAATATTTTTCTAACAGTATATTAAAATTAATGTAAATAATGTGTTAGCTGTTTTATGTCTCGTTTATATGAACTTATAAGAACGTTCTACGTAAATAGTCTCAACCCTCTGCACTTCTGTCAGATGTGGCACAACATCACATATTTCATTTGCATCTCATAAATAATTCAGATAAATACATTGGTAGAATATACACATTTCATAATGAATAAAAAATAAACTTATTACATACTCCCTACCTTGTCACCTTTTATCGAAACCACCATTTTTTTACTATTTTGTAAATTACAGCTAGTAGGTAATTAAGAAATGCAAAGGGTTAAGTACACTGTTTAAAAGAGTCATACATCACGCAAGATATGTAAGAAGTCTTACATTTTTAATGAATCGTGAAATACTCATACATTCTACTCCAAAATGCTTCACATCTACTCCCTACATCTACTTCCTCACATAGAAAGCACTTTGTACAGCTCCTCCATATTTCCCACCACGAAATTAATAAACTCTCCCTTATCACGAATCATGCTTGTAGCATGAAATTTTGAATTATCCTTCGAATTGTTCTAATTAGGAAGTTTCTTACGTTAGGGTAAACGTGACGAGGCAAGCAACGTAGCGGAGTTAAATCGATGAACTAAACGTTCGTCGGGTAGAAGCCTCGATAGAGATAGTATCCAGCGATTTCGACTATCGTGCCGGTGAAATTACACCTGGCCGAGTTAGACCGAGCCGACGTTGTAATTTCCCTAGTAATTTGCAACTAACTCCGCGAAATGGCCGTCAGCAACGAGGGAAGGATCCCTTCAAATTGGAAATAATGAGCCGTCGAACTTGGTCAGGCGATCTTTTCCAGCATGGGAACGCGTATTTACTCGAAACTTCCTTAACGAACGTAACTCGAAACGAGCCTCCTATTCAACCTCATTTGGTCAAAATATTCTGTTCTACGGTATAATATATTGTTCATGTAAGATTCTACCTTTAGTAACGTTAAATGTTGGTTGAATGCTGAACGCGGTGGATCGCTGCGAATTAGATTTATGCATGGTACATTTTCACGTGTTGCTTCTCTACAAGGTAGATTTGCGTGTGATGTATACTTTATGAGTTGATTTTTATATGAGCCAAGTATTTGATGCGTCGAATGATGTGGGGAATTTTCTGCGCGAGGAATTTGTCACAAGTGAAGTTTTCCTTGCGTTGAATCTTTTACGTTTTGAGTTTTCCATGTGTTGAAGATTCTACGCACTGAGTTTGCCACGCGTTGAGTACTCTACGCGTCGAATATTCCACGCACCGAATTTTCCACGCGCCGAGTACACTACGCGTCGAATACTCCACGCGTCGAATTTTCCAAACGTCGAATACTCCACGCGTCGAATACTCCACGCGTCGAATTACCACGCGTCGAATACTCCACGCGTCGAATACTCCACGCGTCGAATACTCCACGCGTCAAATTCTCCATGCGTCGAATAGGTACTCCACGCGTCGAATACTCCACGCGTCGAATTCTCCATGCGTAGAATACTCCACGCGTCGAATTCTCCACGCGTCGAATACTCCACGCGTAGAATACTCCACGCGTCGAATACTCCACGCGTCGAATGCTCCACGCACCGAATACTCCACGCGTAGAATTTCCCACATACTATACACCTCACACGCCAAATTCTCTAAGTGTCAACACACATATATGCAATTTGCCTTGAGTCCTTCATTGTGTAGTAGTATAACCAGGACAAACAACAGCTTAGTCGGAGCCGCATCTTTCTTCCGTCTCCAGCAGTTTTTGTTGGCGAGCCCCGAGGTTAAAGGACAAGCAAGTTCCAGAATATATTCCGAACTTTAAGATTAAAATTCCGCTGAAGACGCAGGAGATGAATAGATACGAGCAGTGCGAAAACGATTGTTATTTCCTTGTAATCCACAGGCCTCTCGTTGTAATCTTCGGATTCATGAACGAAAACGAACGAAACTTTCCGACCGCTGAAACTTCCAATCCCACGGGGTAACGATAAATCGAGAGATATATGGAATAACTTTTTATTGCGGTCCACTGAGCCAGGGGTATAAATTTACTTCCTCTCGTCATTATCAATTCAACTTTTCATGAATCGTGCGTCTCTTTTGTATGCAAGACTTCTAATTAACTAATGTATATAAAGTTTTACGCGTAGAATATTCGGCGCGTGGAGTATTCGACGTGTGGAAAATTCGGCGCGTGAAGTATTCGACGCGTGGCAAATTCGGCGCGTGGAGTATTCGACGCGTGGAGAATTCGACGTGTGGAGTATTCGATGTGTGGAAAATTCGGCGCGTGGAGTATTCGACGCGTGGAGTATTCGATGCGTGGAGTATTCGACGCGTGGAGAATTCGACGCGTGGAGAATTCGACGCGTGGAGTATTCGATGCGTGGAAAATTCGGCGCGTGGAAAATTCAGCGCGTAGAGTATTCGGCGCGTGGAAAATTCGACGCGTGGAGTATTCGACGCGTGGAGTATTCGACGCGTGGATAATTCGACGCGTGCAGTATTCGACGTGTGGAGTATTCGATGCGTGGAGTATTTGACGCGTGGAGTATTCGACGCGTGGAGTATTCGACGCGTGGAAAATTCAACGTGTGGAGTATTCGATGTGTAAAGTACTCGACGCGTGGAAAATTCGGCGCGCAGAGTACTTGACGCATGGAAAATTTGGCTCAAATTCATTCAACATCGCATTCAACTACAAAAGCCCTTATAAATTGTAGATATACATACGTGTGACATAATGCAGTCACGTACATAATTCACTTACGAATTACTCGTATTTGTCGAACAGATAAAATCGTCGCTTAATAACGCGTTAACGAGCAAGTACGCGTATTTATAATGGCAAAAGTCAAGCACGATTCTGTTCGTCTCGACGTTGCTCGGTGACGAGCGAGACCGTCAGGAAATATACTGCTATTTGATTTCTGTTCCATGATTGATTGCGTCGCTAGATAAACGCGTTCCGTGTCGAGTTAACGTCATATATTATTTAAATGTATTATTATCGAACCCGGTTCATTCACGGTTCTTGACCTCTTCCACGCTTCTCGGATTATCTGCGGCTTTTCCGTATGAATTCTTCATTTTTATTCCATCCTCTCGATTGAGACATTCACCTGTCTGCATTTGCCGTGATTCTATAAATAGCGCAGTATTTTCATCTGTCGTTTGAAAATTATCTTACTAACATTGGAACTATAAATCAAATTATTCAATCGTACGAATTTTAATTCACTTAAGCTTTGAATCATATTTGATACAAAAATTCTTAGCTTTCTCTCTGCCTCACAAACTGCACGTCTTCGCAACCGTTTCAAATACCATCGCTAATAATCTCAAATACTTAGAACTTCTCCTTTCTTAAACAAATATTACATTTAGGTCGCTCGTGTTACGGTTCCGAAATTAAACCCGCCTTCAAATATTATCCTATTTGCCTTTAAAACAGCGTCCACAAAAATCTATGCAAGAAGCATTGCCATGCTTGAGACTCGAAACTCGAAATTTCAAAACAAACCGCATTGGACCGATACCAGTCGCGTATTTTCTCGTCAAACAAAGACTCGAAATTTCGAGCAGATTAAACCTGGAACACGAGATACAAAATTGAACGCGGGTTTCTCGTGACCGGGGCTAAGAAAAATATCCACCATTTTCCCTCGTCAGGCATGTTGCCCATGAAAGTTTGAACGTAGACCGATTCGCGAGCGGGTTCGAGCGGACGTTGTCGATTAATCCGAGTCTAGCTTGATTCTTTTATTTTTTTTGCTTTCAGTCGTTGAGAGGGAAACCGTAGCACGAGGGGTGGCGAAGGGCAGAGAGAAAAGAATTTCGGTGGAGCCGCAGGGGTGGATAGAAAACGAGGTCCAAGATGGGAGAGAATCATCAACAGCAGGAGCAGCAGCCTGTTCTTCGTTCGATCAACAACGAGCACAGGTCGTTCGTTAAGTTCATCAACAAGACGCTGCACAGCGTCGTTTTGTATTGGATCGATTACCAGGGTCAGGCAGTCAGTTACGGTGTGTTGGCACCCGGTGATTGCCTGGACATCGACACCTTTGTCACGCATCCGTGGATCTTCGTTGACGCGGAGACCAGAGACAGGTACCCCGCAATCACGCTCTTCTTTGATTGCTTACACACTTTTTTCGATCTTAACTCTTTGCCAACTTTTACGATTTTTAGAATTTACACTTTCAATTTTAGCACCTTCCAATTTGTTCGTCTATTAACAAGTCTGAAATATACTTGGTTGCAATTGAGGTTTGGACAGGTTCTTATTCGCATGCGCAGCGAAAATAGTGTCCGCACAATACATTCATAGATAAAAAGAATTATGTTGAACACGTATGTGTAATTTTGCAATAATCTTCGTGATTTTATGTATAATATTCGTGTGTAAATATTAACATTATCCATAAAGTTGCAATTCATTCGTCTTGAGTTTGAATAAATATACCGCGGCCATTAACCAGCACGTCTGCGCATGCGCAGCGAAAGTAGTATCCATGTAGTACATGCATAGATAAAAAGAATTATCTTGCTCACACACGTATAATTTTGCAATAATCTTCATGATTTAATGTACAAGATTCGTGTGTAAATATTAACTTTAACCATAAAGTTGAAATTCATTCAATTTATTTTAAGTTTGAATAAATATATCGCCGCCATTAACCATTACGTCTGCGCATGCGCAGCGAAAGTAATATTCGTACAGTACATACATAAATAAAAAGTTACCTTGTTCACACACGTACAATTTTGCAATAATCTTCATGATTTAATGTACAACATTCGTGTGTAAATATTAACATTAACCATAAAGTTGTAATTCATTCAATTTATCTTAAGTTTGAATAAATATACCGCCGCCATTAACCACCATGTCTGCGCATGCGCAGTGAATGTAGTATCGATGTAGTACATACATAGATAAATGTTACCTTGCTCACACACATACAAATTTGCAATAATCTTCATGATTTAATGTACAAAATTCGTGTGTAAATATTAATATTAACCATAAAGTTGTAATTCATCAAATTTGTCTTAAGCTTGAATAAATATACCGCCGCCATTAACCACCATGTCTGCGCATGCGCAGTGAAAGTAGTGTCCATATAGTACATACATAGATACGAAGTTACCTTGCTCACACACGTACAAATTTGCAATAATCTTCATGATTTAATGTACAAAATTCGTGTGTAAATATTAACACTAACCATAAAGTTGCAATTCATTCAATTTATCTTAAGTTTGAATAAAATAATATACCGCGGCGGTATATAAATATACCTATGCAATTAACCACCACGTCCGCGCATGCGCATAAGAAACCTAAATTACGACATCTCCAATGATAAATTGTTCCACGTACCCTGTTACACGACTAAAAGAGTTAAGATCGACTCCCGACACGATGAAACGAATCCTTGATATCTTTCTCAAGACTTCTGGTTGCTTAGATTGGAGTAACTGTTTTGTATACCTAAAACATGGACGAAGAACACGATTTTCAGGTACACGGTGAATCAGAGGGACGTTTTCTTTCCCGAAGCATGGTTCGTGAGGTATCGAGGTCTCCGACAGAGCGAGTTACCTCAAAGACGCGAAAGAACAAACGTGTACATCACGTTGCCTGTTTACACGCTCCGAGAGTTGTCTTTGAGAGCGATCAAAAGACGTCTGACGTACGATCGACAGGCGTTTCAACTCGACATTCCGAGGAGTCTTCAACACGAACTGGCTACCATGTTGCCGCGAAACGACGATAGTAACGATCAGGACGTGGACGAGAACGAGGACGATCGTGGTAGTCGAAATTCTTAGCGTTTGATCCTTCGAATCTTCGTGACCACTCGCCAGTAAGTCGATCACGGTCCAACGATTCTATTGATATCATACGTGAGATGTATCGAGGAATTCGCGAGAAAAGTGACACCCCGGGAAAATTCGTGTTTCTTCGACTTTCGACATTCGACGCGTCGTTTCCGCTCTAGACCTCCTATTATTCGTGCAACTCTTAAATCGGTGTCTGCTAGACGTAAATGGGATTTGGGGTTTCTTTGTACTTTTGTTAACACTTTGCTTACGGTTTAGTTTGATATTCGGTAGATTTGCGTTATATTGCCACGAAATTTGAAAACTCGAGAATTATGATCCTACGCTTAAATTAATACGTGTTATAATTTTGGTAACAATATAACATATAGAGATCCAACGCGGTGTAATTTAGTAAACGGCCATATAATGCGAGGCAATTTAATGTCGCGTTATAACGTCCAATACGTTGTGGCGTCACGAATCGCAATATAAGGCGTTGTAAATTTGACGAATGGCAATATAACGCGGTGACTTAATGAACGGCTATATATTGCGAGGTAAGTTAATGCGTCATACGTCAGCGAATGACAATGTAATGCGTGGTAATATAATGGATAATGGTATAATACGTGGTGAAATAACGCCTGGCGATATAACATGTGGTGATATAACACATGGTGATATAACGCGAGATGAATTAACGCAGCGTAATTTCACGTATGACGATATAACGCGTGGTAATCCAGCGCATCGCTATTCCGCAATTGGCAATATAACGCGCGGCGATATTACGCATGGTGATATAACGCATGGTAATATAACGCGTGGTAAACTAACGCATCATAATTTCACGAATGACGATATAACGCGTGGTAATTCAACGCATCGCTATTCCGCAATTGGCAATATAACGCGTGGCGATATAACTCGTGGTGATATAACGCGTGGTAAACTAATGCATCGTAATTTTACGAATCATGATATAACGCGTGGTAATCCAGCGCATCCCTATTCCACAATTGGCAATATAACGAGTGGCGATATAACTCGTGGTGATATAACGCATGGTAATATAACACGCGGTAATTTAACGCATCGTAATTTCACGAATGACGATATAACGCGTGGTAATCCAACGCATCGCTATTCCACAATTGGCAATATAACGCGTGGCGATATAACTCGTGGTGATATAACACATGGTAATATAACACGCGGTGATTTAACGCACCATAATTTTACGAATGACGATACAACACGAGGTAAACCAGCACGTCGCTGTTAGACAACTGACAATATAACGCGTGGCAATATAACACGAGTTTATATAATGCATGACAATGCGCGATGAGTCCACTACATCATACTTCAACAAGTGAAAATATAACGCTTGATCATTCAATGACAATTTAACACTTTGCAATATAACGCGTGGCAATATACCGCAAATCTACTATATCCTGCAATATAAATATTTCACTGTACAAGTCCGATCACATCGGAAACGTAATTTGAAATTTAATTTTCGAACTAATGAAAATAAATACCGAAATGAATTCATAATTATGCTTTCATTTATATTGGTAATTAAGCCATTACGTAGAGTGCATGCTTCATATTTTTTATGCAAAAGTTGTGGAAGTTCGCAATTTAAAGCGCATATTATACGGGGATTATATCAAAATCGAGCCGATTAAGTAAAGTGTTAACGCTTCACTGATTTCAACTCGATCAACTCGTCGAATATTTTATGGGCTAATAATCTTTCTTTTGAACGCATCGTCAATTTTATACGTCGCTTTCCTCTCGAAAAATCGTCCGATACGTGTACATACCTGTAAAATATGTGTGTCGCCGTTTGAATCTTTCAAACTTATCGATTTGACTGGTGAATTTTGTATCTTCCGTTCGACAGCACGTAAGCAACAGTAAATTGGGAATGGTTAATAAAAACGGGTCGAAAAACGTGCCATTTTTATTCTTGTTAATTAGCTATCGTTCGAAAGAGTTTATAATATATTTACCGAACACGCTGTTTGAATGTTGGTTTATTATAAGCGTCTAATATTATCGTCTCAATTTTATCGAGCTTTCCGATTACTTTATAGTATCGTTTAGTGCCTAATTTTAATATTGTAGATTATTCTATTTATAACTATTTTTGTTTTACGTTATTTTAACAAACGCAATTTTCCACTTCTGTTCTATTCTATTTTGGGTATCGATAAGTGCGTGTTAATTTAATTTGCGATTGTTATAGGTCATCGATGAAATCGGTGTTGCAATGAAAACAATATCTCCGGTATTTTTTACACTTGGTATTTTTGTAACCAAACTTTACACGTACTCGCTCCGATCGTTGGCATGTTGTTTGTTCGCAACATTTTTTTATGACAACCTGTTACTAGTTCCGCGTAAGTTGTTCGCGTTGTAAGTACTGTGTTCTAATTTCCAAACACTTTTATTACAGAATAGGTACTCGATGCGTAGTGTATTCGACGCGTGGAGTATTCGGCGCATGGAAAATTCGACGCGTAAAGTACTCGATGCGTGGAAAATTTAACGCGTAGAGTATTCGGCGCGTGGAGTATTCGACGCGTGGAAAATTCAGCGCGTGGAGTATTCGACGCGTGGAGTATTTGACGCGTAGAGTACTCGACGCGTGGAGTACTCGGCGCGTAGAGTATTCGACGCGTGGAGTATTCGACGCGTGGAGTATTTGACGCGTAGAGTACTCGGCGCGTGGAAAATTCGACGCGTGGAGTATTCGACGCATGGAGTATTCGGCGCGTGGAGTATTCAACGTGCGGAGTATTTGACGCGTGGAGTATTTGACGCGTGGAACATTCGGCGCGTAGTATACATACAATCACTCGGTCATTTTATTATTATCAGCTGGGTTTTACAAAAATCCGACTACTTGTTATATTTGATTACTGAAGTATTCGAACAATTTCGAGTACCAATTATCACAGAATTATGTGACTATTCCATATTCAAACATCTCGAATATTTTAATTGTTGAACAATATTTTTAATTACGAACTGATATCTAGATTAATTGCTTGTACAGAGAAGTTCAATTTAAGGTAAAAATGTTAAGCAGTTACGTAAAATTTATTACCATGATTTGTACATAATGAACCGCTCCATAGCCACGTTTTCAGAGAAAAGGTACCTTGCATTTAATGAACTATACGATGAAACAATAAAGATTTTTCAAACGATATTACCCCATTTTCGTTCATGGTGCCAATCAACTAAGGTGATCCTACATTTCATTATACTAGTTCCCAAACTTTCGAAGCCATTGTCGAAAGTGGTTATTTTTCACGGTCTATTTGAATGGATCAATTTTATCGACCGTAAAATACTTTTTACACCAATCATTTTAGGTATCAAAGTTCAAAAATTCCTTTATCCAAAAATTCTAAAAATTCAGAGTTCCAAAATCATGAAGTACAAAAGGTATAAATAGATATTCCTAGATTCAGATATACCTAGATCCCAATATTCCTAGATGCCAACATCGCTAGATCCTGAAATCCCTAGATCCCAGTATCCCTAGGTCCCCCATATCCCTAGATCCCCCATATCCGTAGGTCCCCTATATTCCTAGGTCCCCCATATTCCTAGGTCCCCCACATCCCTAAGTCCCCAATTCCCTAGGTCTCCCATAGCCCTAGATCCCAGTATCCTTAGGTCCCCGTATTTCTAGATCCTCCATATCTCTAGATCCCCCATAACCCTAGATGCCCCATATTCCTAGAGCCCCCGTATCCCTGGATCCCCCATATCCCTAAGTCCCCCATATCCCTAGATTCCAGTATCCCTAGATTCCCCATATCCCTGGATCCCCCATATCCCTGGATCCCCCATATCCCTGGATCCCCCATATCCCTAGATCCCCCATTTCCCTATATCCCCCATATCCCTATATCCCCCATATCCCTAGATCCCCCATATCCCTACTTCCCTAAACCCATATCCCTAGATCCCCCATTTCCCTATATCCCCCATATACCTAGATCCCTAGACCACCAAATGCCTAAATCCCTAAACCCCCATATCCCAAAATCACATTGTACCGAACTCGAAGTATAAAAAATCTCTCTTGAAAGTTCGAAAAGGCGAGAATCGAAAGATTCGAAAGTGGATAAATCGTAAAGTTGCGAAGTTGGAAAAGCGTGGAATTGGAAAACAGCAAGATGTTTTGTCTCGTCCATCGATCTGGTCGGCGGTGTTCGACTCCGCGAACTTTTCCATCGTCGAAAGGGGATCGGAAAGACGATCAACGTTTCCAGAGAGGAAATTTCGAGGGTAAATCGCGACGGCTGGTCGGTAATCCAGCCTCGTTTCCGCAATTCGTAAGTAGAGTTACGAAGTTATTAAACCGTTCCTCATCCCTAGCCGTCCTTCCGTAATCAACCATGCGAGGCTATACCGGCAACTTTCCTTCGGGATGTTTCCGTCTAGTGAAGTGCATACGTGCGTTGATTAACCATTAGCCGAGTAAAATACACTTCGCCACGAAACTGAAACGGACTTACGCTTTTCAACGAATAATAACTCCCGGCTATTCTAGTCCGTTTAGAAGATTCTTGCTCTTACTGTTATTCTCCTGATATTCGACCCGAAACGTTCATTCGATCTTTCTTTCGTACTTTGTTATTTATCTTAACACTTTTGTTTGCTGTTTATGAAATTAGAAGAGGCACTCATGAAGGTCATGATAAAAATTCTTTTTCAAGCGATGTTAGAACAAATATTCTGTTTATTTGATTTTTCTTTCGTACTTCGTTATTTACCTTAACACTTTTATTTGGTATTTATGAAATTAGAAGAGACACTCATGAAGGTCATGATAAAAATTCTTTTTCAAGCGATGTTAGAACAAATATTCTGTTTATTTGATTTTTCCTTCGTACTTCGTTATTTATCTTAACACTTTTGTTTGGTATTTATGAAATTAGAAGAGACACTCATGAAGGTCATGATAAAAATTCTTTTTCAAGCGATGTTAGAACAAATATTCTGTTTATTTGATTTTTCCTTCGTACTTCGTTATTTATCTTAACACTTTTGTTTGGTATTTATGAAATTAGAAGAGACACTCATGAAGGTCATGATAAAAATTCTTTTTCAAGCGATGTTAGAACAAATATTCTGTTTATTTGATTTTTCCTTCGTACTTCGTTATTTATCTTAACACTTTTGTTTGGTATTTATGAAATTAGAAGAGACACTCATGAAGGTCATGATAAAAATTCTTTTTCAAGCGATGTTAGAACAAATATTCTGTTTATTTGATTTTTCCTTCGTACTTCGTTATTTATCTTAACACTTTTGTTTGGTATTTATGAAATTAGAAGAGACACTCATGAAGGTCATGATAAAAATTCTTTTTCAAGCGATGTTAGAACAAATATTCTGTTTATTTGATTTTTCCTTCGTACTTCGTTATTTATCTTAACACTTTTGTTTGGTATTTATGAAATTAGAAGAGACACTCATGAAGGTCATGATAAAAATTCTTTTTCAAGCGATGTTAGAACAAATATTCTGTTTATTTGATTTTTCCTTCGTACTTCGTTATTTATCTTAACACTTTTGTTTGGTATTTATGAAATTAGAAGAGACACTCATGAAGGTCATGATAAAAATTCTTTTTCAAGCGATGTTAGAACAAATATTCTGTTTATTTGATTTTTCCTTCGTACTTCGTTATTTATCTTAACACTTTTGTTTGGTATTTATGAAATTAGAAGAGACACTCATGAAGGTCATGATAAAAATTCTTTTTCAAGCGATGTTAGAACAAATATTCTGTTTATTTGATTTTTCCTTCGTACTTCGTTATTTATCTTAACACTTTTGTTTGGTATTTATGAAATTAGAAGAGACACTCATGAAGGTCATGATAAAAATTCTTTTTCAAGCGATGTTAGAACAAATATTCTGTTTATTTGATTTTTCCTTCGTACTTCGTTATTTATCTTAACACTTTTGTTTGGTATTTATGAAATTAGAAGAGACACTCATGAAGGTCATGATA